GTGTAGTTGCAAAACTAAACACCACAGCTATAAGCAATTTTTTTTTTCCCCAACACAAATATGAAAGATGACCTAAATAATGTGGAAAGGGTGATTTTGGGGTTAATTTGCTGCATAACAGTTTATGTTGAGCACTTTAACGCTTGTAATTTTAATTACAAAGTCTAATAGCTTCTAGTTTTCCTAGTTACTAAACTAGAGTAGAAAGTTACAATATAGTAGAATGTTTTTATCTTTTATATTTATTATTTGCTGGAAAAGTCATAGATGTAAAAACTAATGATTTTTAATGATATTTATGAATAATATTTGTCCATAAAATTTATTTAAAAAAAAAAAAACGTGAAAGCTAAAACTTTTTCCACCTCATTTTTATAATTTTTGCATGAATTGCTGTGGCTGAGTCGGTGGCGGCTGTGGCTGAGTGGTTAGAGCAGTCGTTCTCCAATGCGAGAGTCGGGGGTTCGAATCCATCAGCAGTAACATGCTGAAGTGTCCCTGGGCAAGACACTGTACCTCTCACTGCCTCTGATGTGTCCCATCAGTGTATGAATGTGATCTAAAGCACTGATTAGTCACATTAGAATGATTTGTTCAATTAGCTTTGTACAGATCTAGTAGAGTGCTGTATGAATGGGTAAATGAGGACACAGATTGTAGTGTAAAGCATTTTGAGTATCTTGAAATAAGATAGAAAGGCGCTATATAAGTACAGTCCATTTACCATAATTGAAAGACATTTGCTATCCTTCTTACCAGTTAATAAATGATGGAATAACCTAAAAGCAGTTCATCCTTAATAGCTTAATTCTTCTTATGCAAATAAACAAAACTTTCAAAATAGCTACATTTTCGCTTTCCACGTGTTACTATAATATCTCTTTTTGAGAAAAATGTACACCGTCTTCGATACTTTATTAATCCCCGGGGGGGCATTTGAGGCATCCAGTGAAATGTTCTAATTATACAGAAAAAAAGACACATTTGGAAAAAAAATAAAAGTATATATATAATACTATACTTTATACTATACTATAAAATAATATAATCTTTACATTACAATTGAGTTGTTTTTTTTATATAATTCTGCATAAAAAAATGTATATTTTTTTACTCATTAAACTACTTTTACTTAAACTTGAACAAATATTTATTTATTGCTTCCACCACTGCTGTAAATGACACCAAGAACTATTGTTATGCTTCGCCAAGAATGCAGGCAAACGAGTAGTAAGCCACGTAAAAACTATCTTCTTCAGGGGATTTTTTTTTAGACATTAAATGGTCTCGATAAAGCTGATTTTAGCTGCGTTGTTAAATAGTTAACTGCTAATCAAAAGCATTCTCTGGGTTTCAAGAACGAGACGACGAGCTATTTAAAAAACAACGATAGCAAGTAGCAATGAACACAGAACTAAAGAATACACGGTTTATTATTGCATGTATTCATTTATTTTAATAGACATTTACTTGGGCTTGTTATTCTTTAAAATGACACGATATTTCCAAGACATTAGAGTAGGAAGTGGCTGTACAAATTAGCTAAATCGATACACGGAAGTCACTTGACTCGGTAGCTATGCTTACATGCTAAGTAGCTAACTACCGGCTATTTCCTGGTTTTCAAACTTTGCATGAATTCGTGTAACTCGTGTTCAGGTGTGCAACTCTAGATAGTTGATATTATAAATTAAGATTTATTAAGTCTTACTATTAGCCAAGCTGTTCTTGAGATTTGCTGTCCCGTCGTTTTGTTTTTGTAACTACACAGCCTGATCAAACCATTATTGCCGGTAGATAGACGGAACCAACAACAGGAAGATGACACTAGAAAACAACACACACTAATGACATTAATGAACTAGCAGACGCGTCGTCGAGCTATGTAAACTCTTGTCACCACTAAATTGCATTTTTCAAGATATTTTTCAAACACTTACATGATCCGAGTTGCTATTAGCGCTGTGATAACACACAGAACTGAAAGTATAACCTGAAATGGATGCCGCCATGATGGAAACATCCCTATCAATCCCAATACCCCCTGCGGTTGCAGGCTGCTCCTCTGACGCAATTTCTTGTGGGAAATGTAGGCGGCGACGACTTGACACGATCGACAGTAGCATGGCAGACGCTGGTGAAAACTTACATGGCTGTGAAAATAATTCGGATTCTGAGGAAGATGGATGCTCAGATACTGATTTTGAAACGTCAAAACTCGGAACTAGAGAATAGTAAGTACTTGTGATTTTGTTTTGAAGCAAATAATGATGGTTCCACACTGCCTGCTAGCTAGCATAACATAAGAACTGTTACCACCTGATATATTTAGACATTTTTCAGTAGGAAAGTTGAATTTTAGTGTTGATGTTGAATTATTAAGCTTTGCAGCAACTAATGAATCATATTTGTTTTAAATAAAAAATAGTACGGCTGAGAAGTTGCACTTGCTAAATAAAAGTAGAGTTTATTTATTAGCTAATTTAAAATGAATTTGAACATTGTGCGACAATAGGTTCAAACTGCTAATTGTTTGTTCTTGCTTCCTTTGTGCAATAAACTGCAATTTTAGTCATGAAACATATATCATTGGGCTGTATTTTCAACGCTGATGGCTGTCCTATTTTGCAGCTGGGAGGAAACTTATCAAAAAGAACTGGATACATTCAAAGACATAGGAGATGTTGGAGAAATATGGTAAGAATGAGTTTTGCTGATGTAATTTGGCACTGGCATGATTGACAATTATCAATTGTCTACTGCTTCTAAAGTTTTTTTTTTTTTTTTTTTTTTTAGGTTTGGTGAAGAAAGCATGAGTCGTGTACTGCGGTGGATGGACAAAGCTAAAATTCCTGAAAGTGCTGCCATTCTTGACATTGGCACAGGGAATGGGGCCTTCCTAGTTGAACTGGTGTGAACAAAGTTTAAATGAATGTTATTTCACAAGAGCCTTATTCAAGTCATCACAAAAGTTCGGTTCACAAAAATCAGAATGATTTGAAAACGTAATTGTCACTGAATTATCCAGTGCAAAGGGGGTATAGGCTAAATATATTGATTAAGCTTAATAAGCAGTAAAGAGCCTTTTACTTCCACTGAACTTTAAAGGAACCTATAGATTATACAATTTAAACAAAATTAAGCAAATTTCACTAATCGGAGAACATGTGCTTTGTTTTTAGTGTATATCAAGTTTTACTGGTACAACCTTTTTGAAAATTTTAAACAAATCTGTAATTGTTACTGACTTTGTTCTTATTTTACTTTGTCTTTATTGTCAGGTTAACCATGGATACAAGAATCTTACCGGTATTGATTATTCTCCAGCATCAGTAGAATTGTCCAGACACGTTCTGCAGGCTGAAAAATTGACTGATGTCACTGTAAAGGTGGGTTCATAATTGTCATAGAAAGCACTCACATGAAATTACACTTTAAAAAGAAACATTGAGACACCGAAGCAAAGAAGTGGTTCTGATCTACAGTATTTAAAACAACCTGACTGTTTCTGCTTCACCTACAAAATGTTACCTTTTCTTGTAGGCGAATTTATTAAAAGAAAGCTATAGGTTTTCATTAAACAAACTTTTTCTCCTAAATCTGTGCAACAGTTGTTGACACATCTTATCTCAAACCTATTCACAACAAATATAAGTGCCTGCAGTCTACAAATCTTTACTGGGGATTTGAACATGTTAAATTGGGATTGAAATTAAAATAAAGCTGGTTGGAGAAACGTCTCTAATGGATTTAGTGTGTAAAGATAGCTGTTGAGATAAAACATGCTATAAACACTGTATATACCTTGTTGGGAAATATGCTATAAGTTTAATACCAAAACATGTAAAGGAAAAAAAAAGCACGTTAGGTAATGATAAACTGATTATAACAACAAAGTCCATGCTCAATAATCCAGGTATAAAATCCAACATTTTTCAGTCAGGTCATCTGGACAGTTTCTGTTTTTGTGTTGAAATGTTTCACCTTCGATCCGGAAGGCTTCATCAGTCAACCTTTTTTGTTGTTATATACCTGGATGACTGAGAAAACAAACT